GCTCTGGGAAGGAGCAAGATGGTCACTGTCCTGTGTGGTCGCAACTCAGCAAAAGCTCTGAGCACCCTCCGCATTCCGAGTGTCCCCACACAGTTCCAGTCCAGTCTGCCCTCCCTCTGCTGGAGTCCAAGGTGAGTGGCTGTAGCTAATGTAGTGCTCTGTCCTGGCCCTCTGCACTGTGAATCTGGCTTGGGATTTTGACCGTCAGGGCACTGCTCACAGCTAAGACCGCTGCTGTCTGTGAGCTCCCAGCCGCTCTCTCGTGCCTCTGCAGACCTACCAGGATCAAGTGTCCCTGGTTATATGGTCTACTCAAGCTGCTTTTCTGTTGCTTTTTCCCTATGATTTGTCTTTATTTTAGTTGTAATTTCAGTTTGGTCCTGGGAGATCGTCTGTGTAGCTTTCATTCACCCTGCCACCATTTTGGAATTCGAAACTAGTCGGTTTTTTTGCCTTTTTTACAAATCTGTGACTATTTCTCAACCATCTTCAGCTCCAGAGATTACTTTCTCACTGGTGGGCCCAAGCTAAAGTGAACTCTTAGCTATAACTCACATCCCTGGGAGGGAGAATATGTTCTTCTCAGCATGAGCCAGCATCCATTCAAGTGTGAAAATAGAAGTGAGGGTTTCTTTAGACCAGGGGTAGGCAATGTCTGGTGCACGGGCTATAGAAGGCCTGTGAAATCAATACCAGCTAACATCACATGCCTCACCAAATTAGCCTGACCAAATATAGCAAGCTAATTTTTAAGTTGGTAATTTTGTATGGCCCTCAAATGATGTTATAAATATCCAAATGGCCCTTGGCATAAAAAAGGTTCTCCACCCCTGCTTTAGACAAGTAAGACTGCCTGCTAGGGGCCCACCCCTGTAGAGGTAGGAGAAGGGGGAAACCTTTATAAGCTGGGCACACATAGTGTCGTAGTAGTGTAAGGAGGGGCATCCAGTTCTGGTGAACATCTTTTTTCCAACTTTTTATTTTGAAATAACCATAGAATCACAGGAAATTACAAAAACAGTTCAAAGAAATCTGCTGTATCTTTCACCTAGTTTCTCCCAATGATTACCTTTTAGTTAACTATAGTATAATATAAAAATGGTGAAATTGACTTGGGGATAGTGTATGTGCATAGAGTTGACCCCTGAACCATGTGGGGGTTAGGGATGTTGACCCCCACAAAATAAAAAATCCATGTATAACTTTCCACTCTCCAAAAACTTGGTGTCTGCAGGGGATTGGTTCCAGGGCCACCCCCCATGGATTCCAAAATCTATGGATGTCCAAGTCCCCTATATAAAATGGGTGAATCAATACATACGATCAATCTTTCATATCCACGAGCTCTCAGTCACAGATCGAAAATAGTATAGGTATTTACTGAAAAAAATATACGTATAAGTTCAAGCCCGTGTTGTTCAAGGGTCAACTATAGTTCTATGCTATTTTGTCACATGTGCAGGGTCTTGTAACCACCACTGTAATCAAGATTCACCTTCTTTTCATCATTTCTTCATACACCTACCTTCTCTTCATAATTTCTTACCCATGGCAACCACTGATCACCTGTTTTCTCTCTCCCTAATTTTGTCATTTTGAGAATGTCATATAAATAGAATCATGTAGCATATGATCTTTTGAGTTTGGCTTTTTTGCATTTGGCATAGTGCCCTTGACATCCATTCATGTTGTTATGCATGCCACTTAGTATTACTAAGCAGTATTCTATGGCATGGATGTGCCACAGTCTGTTTAGTCATTCACCTGTTGAGAGATATTTTGGTTGTATCTAGTTGTTGAGTATTACAAATAAAACTGTTGTGGGCATCTGTGTACAGGTTCTTGTGTGTACATACGTTTTCTTTTTTCTGGGATAAATGTTCAGGGGTATGATTGTTGGGTTCTGTGCTAAGTGTAGGTTTGGTTTTTAAAGAAACTGCCAAGTTGTTTTCCAAAATGGCTGTACCATTTTATCCTCCCACTAGCAGTATATGAGAGATTCAGTTCATCCACATTCTCACCAACATTTGGTACGGTCACAGTTTTTAAAAAATTTTTAGCTGTTCTAATAGGTTTGTAGTGCTATCCCATTGTGGTCTTAATTTGCATTTTCCCAGTGGCTAGTGATGTTGAACATCTTTTCATGTGTGTATTTGCCATCATATATCCTCTTGGGTGACATGTCTCTTCCTGCCCTTTGCCCATTTTCTGATTGAATTGTTCTTTTTTTTTTTTTATTTTTTTTTTATTTTTTTTAATCCTCACCCGAGGATATTTTTCCATTTTTTGTACAGATAGAGTGGGAGGGAGAGAGAGAAAGGGAGAGAGAGAGAGAAACATCGACGTGAAGAGACACATCGAGTGGCTGCCACCCGCACGACCAACCAGGGCCGGGGACAAACTTGCAACCGAAGTACGTGCCCTTAGCGGGAACCGAACCCGGGTCTCTCTGGACCGCAGGCCGACGCTCTAACCGCTGAGCCAAACTGGCCAGGGCTTGAATTGTTCTTTTTACTGTTGAGTTTGAGAGTTTATATTTTCTAAATACAAATCAGTTTTCATATCCGTGGTTTGCAGATATTTTCTCTCAGTCTGTACCTTGTCTTTTCATCCTCTTAACAGAGCTATTCTAATTCCTTTGACTATCCATATAAATTTTAGAATAATTTTGTCTTAAACTACAAAAAAATCTTGCTGAGATTTCTATAGGAATTGTGTTAAACCTTTATATCAATCTGACAAAAGTTGACATGTTTACTACGTTGAGTCTTTCAGTCTGTGAACATGATCTATTTCTCCATTTATTTAGATTTTATTTTATTTCTTTTATCAGTTTTGTATAGTGTTCAGCATGTAAGTTCTGAACATATTTTGAAATGTCTATGCATTTCCTTTTGAGTCTTTGTACATATCATATTTTTTAATTTTGATTTCCAAGTGTTCATTGTTAGTATATTGAAATACTTTTGATATTTATATATTAGTCTTTTATCCTGAAAACTCACTTTATCCATGCTGAAATGACTTGTTAGTTCTAGGAGATTTTGTAGATTCCTTGGAATTTTCTACATAGACCATCACGTCATCTGCAAATAGAAACAATTTCATTGTTTTCGAGATGTGTACCTGTTATTTCCTTTTCTCACATTATTGTGCTGGCTAGGACTTTTAATGTTATGTTGAAAATAGTGATGAGAGTAGAAATTCTTTCTTGTTCCTAATCTTTAGGGAGAAAACATTCAGTTTTTCATTAAGTATGACAGCTGTAGTTTTTTTGTTTTGTTTTGTAGAGATTCTTTATCAAGTTGAGGTTCACCTCTATTTATAGTTTTCTGAGAGTTTTTATCATGAATGGGTATTGAGTTTTATCAGGTGCTTTTTCTACATCAATTGATATGGTCATGTGATTTTTCTTTTACTTGTTAATATGGTGGATTACATTGATTGATTTTTGAATATTGAATCAGTCTTGCATCCTTGGAATAAATTCCTCTTGGTCATGGTATATAATTCTTTTTACATATTGCTGAATTCCATTTGCTAATATTTTGTTAAAGATTTTACATTTATATTCAGGAGGGATATTGTGCCCAATTTCTGTCTTGCTAGGCTGCCCCTTTCCAAGTTCTTTGATTAGAGATTGCAGGATGAGGTGGGTATTTTTGGTTTACTCTCATTGGCATTTATGGATTGCCAACTTTTCCACTATCCAGTCTCAGATCTATAAAATGGGAAAAAAAAACAACTCAAGGAATTTACTGATATAGAGCTCCCTAGCTAGTTTGCCTTCTCCATTCCACTTTTTGGAGTCATTGTATGTTTGTTTTATACATTATGTCCAGGGTTTTTAACTGTATGCACCTATTGTAAAGAATAGAGAGAAGTGTGTCTTTTCCAGCTTGTCCTGATACCAGGAATCCAGTCTGTATATTTTAAAAAGTAGATTTTGAAGTCCCTTCCTTGTATATGTGGATGAAAAATTAATCTTCAAATTTGTTGGGGAAAGGAGTATGTATGCCTTCTACATATTAGCTAGCGTAGTGGCTAGCATAGAGAATATTCTCAGTGAATATTAATCAGATCGTTACAGTGGTCACAATGCATTCCAGCTGAGTTGCTCTGGCCTAAAACCCATCTTCCAGTTATTACAAATATGTTTGTTTTTCTTGGGGAACTTAAATTGCCATTTTGCTCTAAGAAGTCAGTATTTCTTGCTGTGGGATAGAAACTTGTAGATTATACAACCATGTTGATTTATTATTCCAACTGTGGACAGTTTCGAGGGAGAAAGAGAGTGCTAAGAATAATTAGGGCCGGACAAGCAGTGTAAGCAGAGACTGCAGTAGGCAAAGTGGGGCATATGGTCACCCTATTCGCACCTGTTTAATGAATTTACTATTGACTTAATTTGAGAATACAGGTATTGAAGCATTTCTGTTATTTCTCAAGTGCTACAGATGGACATTCTGGTGTATGCACATGCATGTGCTCACTCGTACTCAGGCATTCTTGCCTCATAATAAAGGAGTAAAGGAGAGTTATGCAGACTGGCTAAATTAATGTAGCATGTTTGCTAAACAGAATGTTCTATTTTTACCTTCAGACTTGTCCACAGGGGCCATCTGAAGGTCTTTTAAATGCCATTAATGCTTAAACAAAAAGGGCATTCCAGTTAATATGGTTTGTCTGGATGAAATACTTACTAAAATATCTTGGAATAAATGGAATGCAAACTGTTTATAAAAGCCTAATTCACAGCTTTTCTTCAAGTTATAAAATGGGAATTACTTCAGGTGTAAATAATTCATCCTGACAAATTTGTCTCATTTGGTGTGTGCCTGCCTGCCTGCTTGCTTGTGAGTATATGATTTTATTTTTGGAGCCCCAAGACATTAGCCTCTTGTTAGTTTAGCACTTCTCATGAATCAGAGAGTTCTGACAAGAGTCCAGGGTCCAGACCTCTAAGTTCTATTTCACTGAACTGTTTGTACTTTTTGTAGACAGTCTTCCAAACAGAAGAAGGCTATTCAAACTGCTATCCGCAAAAATAAAGAGGCAAATGCAGTGCTCGCCCGGTTGAACAGTGAACTCCAGCAGCAGCTCAAGGTAAGGGGTTTCCTGATTTTGGGTTACCAGACTTTTCATTTAATTGCTTTGTTCTGTTTTGACCATTGGCTGAGAGTCTGGCTCCATTCCTGTTGGTAAGACTTGTCTCATTGTTCTCAAACTCCTTTTGGAAGGCAGAGAATTGCTGTATTTAAGTTTCATGGGTTGGTTCTTGTATGCTTAGGGGAAGACTAGTAACTTTAATATGTAGGCTGCATGTTGTGTGTTAATTAAAAGGACCGAGAATCTATTACAAGGGCTGTTGGAAGTATTCATTATTATCCGAAGCTTTCGGGTAAACTCTTACTTGTTTAGATTTACCCTGAATGATGCTATACTTATTTCAGTGGAGGAGAGTGGCCCTGATACTATCGAAGGCCAGCTACTCCCCTGGTACCTTGGAAATGGTTCCATATCACCTTGTCAAGAACATCACTCCTGTTCTTATCATCTGTGTCTCTTCATTATCAATCTCCCCTGTATTAGTTTCTCAGGGCTGCCAAAACAAAGTACTACAAAGTGGGTGGTTTAAAATAACAGAAATCTAGTCTCATAGCTCTAGAGGCCAGAAATCTGAAATCAAGGTGTCAGCACAGCCGAGCACTCTCTCTGAAGGCCGTAGGGGAGAACCCTGCCTTTCTTCTTCCCAGTTTCTGGTGGTGGCTGGCAGTGCTTGGCGTTCCTTGGTTTGTCACTCCAATTTCTGCCTCCATCTTCACATGGCCTTCTCTCTGTGTCTCTGTCCAAATTCCTCTTCTTATTGTGTCTTCTTATAAGGACACTGGTCATTGGATTAGGGCCTACCCTAATCTAGCATAACCTCAGTTAAACTAAATTACTTCTGCAAAGATCCTATTTCCATATAAGGTGATACTTACAGGTGCTGGGGGTTAGGACTTAAACATATCTTTTCAGGGGACACGGTCTCCTGATTTTCTACTGGCTCATTCCCATCCACATGTGAATATGCTCCAGTATAGTCTATCACGTTGACCCCTTCTTCAGCTGCTCTCAGTCTCTCTGGTCCCCTTCACAGCCACGTTTCTTAGGAGTTCTTTCTATTAACTATTTCTGCTTCCTCACCAACAGTTTTCTGTCCTTTCACTTTAGTGTGGCTTCCTTCTCTTCCACTCACACTCCTCTTATGGCCAAATCCAATGGGCCTGTTTTTTTTTTTTTTTTTGATATTTTGTTCAGATAGAGTGGGAGGGAGAGAGAGAGAGAGAAAGAAAAACATCGACGTGAAAGGGACACATCGAGTAGTTGCCACCCGCACAACCCAACCAGGGCCGGGGACAAATTGCAACTGAGGTACGTGCCTTTAGCGGGAACCGAACCAGGGTCTCTGGGGACCGCAGGCTGACGCTCTAACCGCTGAGCCAAACCGGCCAGGGCCAATGGGCCTGTTTCAATATTATTTGAATTTTCACAAGAATTCTACACAATTCACCATTCCCTCCTCTGAAGTCACTTTTCTTTTTAATATGTTTTTATTGATTTTTGAGAGAGAGAGATAGAAACATTGATGTGAGGTAGAAACATCCATCGCTGCCTCCTGCACGCCCCCTACAGGGATTGAGCCTGCAACCCCGGCATGTGCCCTGACCAGGAATCGAACTGGGACCCCTCAGTCCGTGGGATGACGCCTGATTCACTGAGCCACATCAGCTGGGCCTCTGAAGTCACTTTTCTACCTGGCTTTTGGGAAACCAAACTTGGCTCATTTTTTCTACTTCACTGGTGCTTTCTCTTTAGCATTCTTGGCTGTCTATTCCTTCTTTGATTTCTCTTTTGTTACCCCTCTTGCCCTGATACTTTATTAAATACATTTTCAAGGATACCAGGACATTGAAAGAATTATGCAGTAAATACTTCTATAGCCACCACTTTGGTTCTGCCATTAACATTTTCCTATACTTGTTTTATCATGTCTCCATTCCTTTATCTATCCCTCTATCCACAGTCCATCTTATTTTAAACATATTTTCAAGTAAATTGAAGACATCTATACATGTGCCCTAAATATTTTAGCATGCATATCATTAACTAGAGTTCCATATTTTTACAGGCTTTTCTTATGATGTAAATTTTACATACAGTGAACACAAATCTTGAGGGTACATTTGCTGAGTTTTTTAACAGATACATACACTTACAGAACCCAAACCCCTATCAAGGTACAGAACGTTCCCATCATCCAAGGAAGCTCCCTCCTGCTCCTTCTTGGTCAATTCCTGCCCCACTAATGCAGAGGTAACCACTCTTTTAAATTTTTATGCCATAGTGTTGCCTTGCCTATAACTGTATGGAAATGGTGTTCTCTCTCTCTTTTTAAAAAATCCTCACCCGAGGATATATTTTTTCCATTTATCTTCCGATAGAGTGGGAAGGAGGGAGGGTGGGAAGGAGAGAGAGAGAGAGAGAGAGAGAGAGAGAGAGAGAGAGAGAGAGAGAGAGAGAGAGAGAGAGAGACATCGATGTGAGAGAGACACATTGACTGGTTGCCTCCTACATGACCTGACCAGGGCTGGGGATGAATTTCAACTTAGGTACGTGCCCTTGGCTAGAATCGAACCCGCGACTCTTTGGTTCGTGGGCCAATGCTCTAACCTCTGAGCCAAACCGCCCAGGGCAGAAATGGTGTTCTCTTAATATGTATTTTGTATAAAAGTTTTTTCTCTTAATATTGCTTTTGAGGTTCATTTACACTGTTGCATGTGTTAGTAATATGCTCTTTTTTATCGTTGAGTAGTATTCCATTGTGTGAATATACCACAATTTGGTTATCAGTTCTCGTATTAATGTGTACCTGAACCATTTCCAGTTTTGGGTTATTTTGTATAAAACTGCATTTTGAATCAATCTTTGTGTGAAGATATGTTCTCATATCTCTTGGGTAAATACTTAGGATTAGGATTAGTAGATAATGTGGTGACTATATGTCATCAGTTTTATTAGAGCTTTTTCCAAAGTGGCTAGAGCATTTTGTACTAACTGCCACTAATGTAGCAGAGTTCCAGTTGTTCTACATCCTCATCAACATGTGGTGTGTTACTTTTTAAATTTTAGCTAGTTCTGTGGTTATGTAGTTTTAATTTTACATTTTCTTGATGCTTATGTTGAGCACTTCTCTATATGATTACTTGCCTGTCATATATTTTATGAAGTGCATTTTCAAAATTTTTGCCCATTTTTTAAATTGAGTTTTTAGTCTTTTTTTTTTTTTAGTTGTACGTAGATGCTATTTATATTATCTTGGTTACCACTCCTTTGTCAGATATATGTTTTATGAATGTTTTCTTCCAGTCTTTGTTTTACCTGTTCATTTTCTTAACCATGTCTTTTCATGAACATTAGTTTTACATTTTGATAAAGTCTAATATCATTTTTCTCTTATGATTATTACTTTCTATATAAAGAAACTTTGCCTACATCTAAATGATGAAGATATTCTGTTATGGATTTTTTCCTAAAGGCTTTATTTTAATATGTTTATTATAAATTTGCTAAGAGGGTAGATCTTATGTTAAGTGTTCTTATTACAAAAACAAAATAATAACAATAACAACAACAACAATAAAGAGGGTAGGAGGAAACTTTTAGAGGTGATAATTTTATGGCATAAATTGTGGTGATGGTTTCATAGACATAATTATCTCCAGACTGATCACACTGTATACATAAAGTATGTACAGCTTTTTTGTATATCAGTCATACCTCAATAAAATGGTTTAAAAAATGGATCGTAGGTATTATTCATCTTGCATAACTGAATCTTTATACCCTTGAATAATACCTCCCCATTTACTCTTTATTCCAGCCCCTGGCAACCCCCATTCTACACTCTGATTCTATGAGTTTGACTATTTTATTTTTTTTTTATTTTTTTATTTTTTTTATCCTCACCCGAGGATATTTTTCCATTTTTTGTACAGATAGAGTGGGAGGGAGAGAGAGGAAGGAGAGAGAGAGAGAAACATCAACGTGAAGGGACACATCGAGTGGCTGCCACCCACACGACCAACCAGGGCCGGGGACAAACTGCAACCAAAGTACGTGCCCTTAGCGGGAACCGAACCCGGGTCTCTCCGGACCGCAGGCCGACGCTCTAACCGCTGAGCCAAACTGGCCAGGGCGAGTTTGACTATTTTAGATTCCTCATACTTATAAGTGATGTTATGTAGTGTTTCTCCTTCTGTGTCTGGCTTCTTCCATTAGCATAATGTCCTCCAGGTTCATTCATGTTGTCACAAATGACAGGATTTCTTTTGTTTTATTTACTTGTTTTTAAATTTAAGTATAGTTGGTATACAGTATTATTTATATTAGTTTCAGGTGTACAATATAGTGATTTGACATTTATATACCTTATGATGTGATCACCACACTTAAGTCTAGTAAGGATTTTTCTTTTTTTTTTTTTTTTATCCTCACCCGAGGATATTTTTCCATTTTTTGTACAGATAGAGTGGGAGGGAGAGAGAGGAAGGGAGAGAGAGAGAGAAACATCGATGTGAAGGGACACATCGAGTGGCTGCCACCTGCACGACCAACCAGGGCCGGGGACAAACTGCAACCGAGGTACGTGCCCTTAGCGGGAACCGAACCCGGGTCTCTCCGGACCGCAGGCCGACGCTCTAACCGCTGAGCAAAACTGGCCAGGGCAGGATTTTTCTTTTTAAAGTCTGAATAATATTTCATTGTATGTATACACATTTTCTTTATCCATCCATTCCTCGATGGACATTTAGATTGCTTTTGTGTCTTGGCTATTGTGAATAAAGCTGCAGCGAACATGGGAGTATGGATATCTTTTTGAGAAATTGATTTTAGTTCCTTTGGATACATACTTAGAAGTGGAATTGCAGGATCATATGGTAGTTCTATTATTTTTTTTAGCTTTATTGAGATATAATTGACATGTAATGTGCAATTTTAAGGTGTACAGCATGTTAATTTGATATACTTACATATTGCAGTATGATTATCATAGTATTGTT